ATGGACATTCAAGTAGGGGGTGATAACACATTTCCGTTGTATTTATTCCACATACACTGCAGGTTCCAGAGACACTCATCTTGTATGTTTTTTTATTAATCCTAATTCTGACAAATATTTTGTTCAAGAGACGAATTTGGCTTAAAACTCTTTTATGGTCTAAAGAAATTTTAATTTTTAAATAATTTTGAGGTCCTCTAGACAATGACAAGTGTGGTAGAATCTGCAGTGAGCGTGACTCACTCAATCTTTTCAAATCTTCTAAGTACAAGTAATTTTTATATTTCTCAATCCACGCCTTCTTTTTCAATTGCAGCCGAGTAACATTGAGATTTTTCCATTCCTCTTTTTTACCTATAAGATCGAATATAGATCCCACTTGCTCACACCAATTAAACTTATGTTTACGGCTATTACTGCTATCAGCGAGACTTTTCAAACGTAAAAAACATATCTTAGGATATCTATTATCTTCCATCAATAAGATTTTTTTAATGAGATTTAATATTAATTTAAGGACTATTACAGAAAAAATTGGATACCCCTGTTTCAAGTCTCACGGCGTTATTCGGTGTATTCTGAGGCAAGTGTAAAATTTTTTTTTAAATGAATTTTGAATTTTTTCAATATCCTCTAAGTATCTTAATCCCCAGATTTGTATCGCGTATGTTAAGTTGCTTACCGAGAGGCTTTTAAACAATTTATTAATTGGATCCCAGGTTTTTAAGTTTAGACGGTTAATTAATGAAACTGTTGCTCCAAGAGCCACATTTGCCCTACTGCTAGCAGCGTCAACAGCATTTAAAAAAGTTGCTGAGTTTGAAAAAGTGACCCTCAAATAATCATATCTAGGGACTATCTCAATCTTTTCTTTATCGTTGTACATAAAGGATCCATATTTATGATTGTGACAGTGTCCACCCTTTATAAAAATGACAATCTGAGTTTTCTTTATGTTTATCTCAAAATTATTAATGGTACAATACTCTTTTAACGCTTTTAAAATTTTTCTCATCTCCACGCAAAAATTCGCAGGAATTGCAATATCGTCCGCGTACGCAAATAAAATTATTTCTACGAGGTGATTTATTAAGACTCCCCTAATCCCCTCTGATTTTAAAAATTCTTCAAAATCCGCGATAAAAAGGGAAAAAAGTAAAGGACTCAATACCTCCCCCTGTAAGACTCCTAAAGTAACCCTAGTAAATTCTGGGATGCCGGAAGATCCCTTCACTGCGATTTTAGCTTTGGAGTATAAATTTTTTAAAATGTTAATTATTTTAGATCCCACTCCTATCTTGTATAATTTATCCCATAATAAACTGTGCGTAACTGAGGGGAAGGCCCCGCGAAAATCTATGAATAACACAAATACACTACCGTCCGAAATTGTGCGAACTCTGCTTTTTCAACAACTATAAAACTGTTCAAATCTTCAAAAATATTAAAACTGAAATTTTTTCCTCTTTATTTTATTAAAGCTAATAAAATTCTGAAAGAAATGACACCTTGACAAAGAGAATATGTTAATTTTTCAATTAGATATCTAAGAAAAACCCAATTTTCAATGTTTTTACTATTTTTTTTATTTCTCTGTCAAAAATTAATATTTTTAAACGTTCTTAGGCTCATTGAAATCGTATTTTGTTATGCAATTCAAATTATATAAAACAATTTATGTACAGATTCTTCCCTAGCGTATGCAAACCGTGAAAGTTGGCTCATAAAATGTCAAAAAAATTAAATTTAATTCTACAATAAAATATAATGTTTAAAAATCAAGTAAATATATCATTCTAAACTTCTCTGATTTATGTAAGTAAATTTGAAATTTATACATTTTACTGATCATTTTTTGTCATATAAACATTAATCACAATTTTTTGACATTTTATGAGCCAAATTTCACGGTTTGCATACGCTAGGGTAGAATGTGTACATGAATTGTTTTATATAATTTGAATTGCATAACAAAATACGATTTCAATGAGCATAAGAACGTTGAAAAATATTAATTTTTGCCAGAAAAATAAAAAAAATAGTAAAAACATTGAAAATTGGGTTTTTCTTAGATATCTAATTGAAAAATTAACATATTCTCTTTGTCAAGGTGTCATTTCTTTCAGAATTTTATTAACTTTAATAAAATAAAGAGGAAAAAATTTTAGTTTTAATATTTTTGAAGATTTGAACAGTTTTATAGTTGTTGAAAAAGCAGAGATCGCACAATTTCGGACGGTAGTGTAACTTCCCACCCTCTCGTTTCAAGCGAGTTTGTATTAGTGCATTAAGTGCAAAAATGTTGTCAACACAACTTCTTTTCCTTCTAAATCCCGCTTGCTACTCGGGTTAAAGGTTATTGTCATCGACCCATTTATTTAACCTGTCCGCAAGTATTTGCGTGAAAACCTTGGCAGGATTGTTTACTAGCGCGATTTGACGGTAATTCTCCGGGTTCGACCTTTCTCCCTTCTTAAAGATCATTTTGGCTAAAATATTCGCCCATGAATTTGGAACTTCCTCCTTATCCATTATTTTATTAAACAAAATTGAAAAATAGTTTATCCAATTATCTGGGAGGTTTTCTAGAAATTCATATGAGATCCCATCCGAACCTGGAGACCTACCCTCCTTACACCTTCCCAAACTTTTTTTAATTTCTAAATAAGTAATTTCTTCATCTAAAAGTGGGTTTGCCACGGGGATCAAAGTTACCGGAATATTTGAAATCAATGGAAATGTCGATTGGAAATAGTTATGCCATTCTTTTAAATCAATTTGATCTTCCGTGGTAAATCGAGTTCTGAATTTATTTATGATTTTCCAGAAATTAGAAGAGTCTCTCACAAAGGATAACTGGTTTAACAGCGAATTTCTATATTCTTCTTTTTTAATTTTTTGGAGACTTTTATATATTTTTTTATTTTCGTTATAATCTTCGATCATTTCTACTACATTAAAATTATTAATTTTACATTTTTTTAAAGACTCTTTTAACTTATTTTTGAGGATAACACATTCACTATCAAACCAAGGTTTAGATTTAGATTTAATCGTATAAACTTTTACCCGCATACCGAGACTCGTCGCTTTTTCATAAATATTTTCATTTAAAGCATTTGATAAATCGTTAATATCATCCAATTTTTCTATTTCCAACAATGTTTCACTCATAAGAGATCTATATTCCTCTTTCAGTTCTCCCTTCCATTATAAACGAAATAGATCATTTACAGAATTGTTATTTTCATTTATTTTTAACAATTTTATCGAGATTGGAAAATGATCCGAATTCGTAGTAACACAATGAACCATAAAATCTTCAATCCCACCAAGTCCTACAAGATTAGTCCACGCAAGATCTATTGTTGATTTTTCCAAAGTATTGACAAATGTGTATCGGGAAGGATTATCTCCTCTTGTTCTTCCGTTTGTAAGAATATAAGCATTTCTTTCCATAATAGATACTAATTTTTTCCCCCTTATATCTAATTTTTTATCTAAAATAAATCTTTTACAACTGACGAAAAAGTTTTCTTCAATTATATCATTTGTTAATTGATTTAGATCTCCTATTCGTGAATTAAAATCACCTCCGATATAAAATGGTAAATTGGGATATTTAATAGTTATTTGATCTACTAAATCTTCAAAGTTTGATAAAAAGGCGTCAAAATCTCAGGAATAAACAGTACTTACAATGAATTCGAATTTCGTATCTCTATTTAAGAATTTAACAATTATACAATCTTCTGTGCTGCTTAATATTTCCTTATTGTATTTATTTACATTGAAAGCCATGATGAGTCCCCCCCTCGCTCTTCCCTTCATCGCTGACCTTGTCGCTGGACTGTACAGGACGGTGAAACCACCGAAGTGACTCGTGAAGGCGAAGGAAGGGTCATTCTCCGCCCATGTCTCACTCAAACAGACGATATCATTGTTGTTGATTATTGAAATTAAATCAGCTACGTTTCCTAGGCCTCTAACGTTCAAAAATAAAATTTTTCGACAGCTAATGTGTAAAAACTGCTATGTAGATTGTTGGGTTTGTTTTTTAAGATTATTTTGCCGAAGAAAATCCACAAGTTTTTCGTCCGGCTTTGCAGGTGTAGATTTTATCATCTTCTTTTTGTTTGAAGATTTAGATCCAGGTGGTCTACCCCGTTTTTTGCTTGCGGTAGAAATTCTTGATATGGTAGAATCATCGCTTTCTCCATCATAATTGTCGACTTCACTTTTATAGACTTGGGAAGACGGAACGAGTTCATGTAGTTCTTCGATGTCATAGTAAACGTCATCCATGGAGATTTTCGACCCCTTGATTACTGCCACCTTCCCTTGTTGTTGCAGAAGATTTCTTGCCTCCCAGAGTTTATTGTACAGGAGTTTCTTTTTCTCTCTCAACTCTCTTGTCATGTCATTAGCAAAGCTTAAATTTTATTTTCCAAAATTTTTTGCCTTTTGGAAGATTTCTTTTTTACACTTAGGGTAAAGTGTCCTAAGAGGACGCACTTAACTTACTTTTAGGCATTACTTTTTAACTAAGAAATAAAAACTTACGAAAAACCAACCTAATTATAGTAACATATCCCTAGAATGAACTCACTGTATTAAAAGTACAAATATAAACATATTCTTTTGTAAAATAAATAATTTCGAAGATAAGTCATTTGCGCACTCTTAGGCATGACTTTCCTAAGAGTACGCAATCATTTTCCCAAGAGTACGCAGGTTACACTGTTAAAGAGAAATAATAATTCTACGTAAATGAAAGTGAAAATATTTATCTTCTTTTTATTGTTTTTATTATATTATTAATTTATGTATATAAATTTATTATTTAGTCGCATAAATCATAAGTAATGATTAAATAATTAGTTTAGAAAATTAAATTAAAAACAATAAAAATATTAAAACCAGTAAATAATAAATGGTTAATTTAAATTGCTTTAAGAACAAATTAACTAATCATCAAAATAATATATTACTCCACATGATTACTTTTTACGCTTAGGTTGGGATTTTCCGGGAACGGCTTTTTTTACTTTTTTCTCCATCGCCTTTTGTTCTTTTTGAATTTTCTTTTCCATAAGTTGTCGCTGTTTTTCAATTTTTTTCTCTTCACGTTTTCGTTTTCTTTCATTTTGAAGTTTTAATTTTTCCCTTTTTTGCAATTCGATTTGTTCTAATTTATTTTTAAATTCGCTGCTTGTCAAAACTTCTGATTTTTGATTACTTTTATTGCGAATTTGAGTTGTTTTTAATCGAGGAAGTGGTCGGAGATCGGCCGGACTCTTAGTCATTTCAGAAGCTTGCACTTCTTGATCTACATTTCTTATTTCTGAGGTTAGTCTTAATATATCTTCTTCTTTATCAACTTCAACCACAGAAGGTACATTTCTAGTTTCATCTGTGATGATTAAGTTTTCGACATAATTAACTCCTTCGATTATTATTACTGCATTTTCAATATCTTCGGCAGTTTGCTCAACTAGCATTTCAACAACTTCAGGCACAATGTAATTATTATCTTGTTGTTGAATAACATTTTCAACAACGTTGTTGTCAGCAAAAGGTCTGTCACTCACAAAACTTGGTGCAAAATCTTCGTCAGTAAATATTTCTGAGTTGAAAGGAAAAATGCCTGTCGATTCAAAAGACTTGACTCCTTTATCAATACTGGACACTTTCTGATAAGCTTGCTTAAACAAGAAAGCTACTTCTGTTTGTGTGATGACTTTACCAGGATGATTTACGAGCCACATATCACAAAATTGCCCGTATGCAACCTTTAGCGGTCCGAAATAGCCTTTATCCAGGGGTTGTACTTTATGGCTAGAATGTGGAGGAATTGTGATGAGCTCAATGAAGTTTTGTTGACAATATTCGACAAACTTCAAAGTTCTGTGCGAAATGTGGTTATCAAATACGAGTAGAACTGGACTATCTTGAGAAGGTCGAGTATATTCTTTGAAGTGTTGCATCCACAAGAAGAAAAGATCATTATTAATGAAACCAGACTCAGATACCATTTTTAACGTTCCTGCAGGAGCTTCAGTGAATAGGTCATCTCGCATTCGCTTTCTAGGAAAAATAAGACCTGGTGGAATGAATAATCCGCTTGCACTCATACAACAAATACCTGTTACGAGTTGACCGCGTTCAGCACTCGAGACTCTTCCAACTAGTTTTTTACCTTTTTGTGAGATAACCTTGGGCATTTTATTTGGTACTGTACTTAGTCCTGTTTCGTCCATATTGAAAATTCTGTCTGGTGAAAATTGATACTTTTCATACAAAGTTTTCAGATTTGCGAAAAAACGATCCATTTGCACCTTATTAAAACCCATGACTCGTCCCATTGAGCATTTTTCCGGTTGACGAAGTGATAAATTTTGTCGAGCGAAAAAATTATTAATCCATTTGTCACCAGCAGCTTTTTTTTCCTTAATGAAAGGATTTTCAATATTGTTCGCTTCAGCATATTCAAAAGCCAACATCTGGCAATCTTTCTTTGTAAGTCCATAAAATCTTATGTCTAAATCCTTAATATGATTGGCAAGTTGTAATTCTTGTTCTGGACTAAAAACACATTTAAAACGCCCTAGTGACGAAGGAATCGTTCCAGCTACTAAACGTTTTCGCAACGTTGCCTCGGGAATATTGAACTCTTTGGCGATTTGTCTTTTTGACTTTCCTTCTGATAATTCTTTTTTTATCGCTTCCATAATTTGTACAGTAAACCTAAGTTTTCTATCAGTTTTTCTTATATATTTACTCATCTTTGTAATCTAAGAAATAAGAAAAAAAGGAAAGGATATATTGGAGTTATACAGGTTAAGCAGGGGTTAGGATTTTCAAAACAACGGTGCGTACTTTTGAGCATTTTTTATTGCGTACTCTTGAGCGATAGGAAGAGAAATGAAATAATAATTAAAAGATAAATACAACTTTCACAAACCAGATTGTAAATAAATGGATCATTTAAAACAGACTTGTATTACATTTTCAATATATTTGACATTTGTCTAAGATGTGAACATATTCATAAATCGCTTATTTTCATAAAGTAAAAAATTACAGTAACTCGCACTTCTACAACGACCAACATAAAAATTTAGTAATGAAAATCTTACACAAACTGGATGAGCCTAACTGACACAGAATTTAATTCGTAATACTTAATAAATGCTTTTAGTGCTCCAAATAGGTGTCAAAACTTCCATCAGAAATTAATATACTAGAATATTTGATCGTGCGTACTCTTAAGCAATGCGTGCTCTTAGGCTATCTTACCCTATGAGCCACAAGAGAAACGAGAATCGGCCGATTCCCCACTATTTTACCTATTCTTCTGACCTCCGTGATGTCATTTTCCTGAATATTCACCTCAGTTTTTTAAAGATTGAGATCACCGTATCTTTTAAGTTCAAATTTTCAGATGGATTGTCTCTCACCTTGAACAAGACGATATTATTTGCCCTCTCTCGATTTAAAAGATAGTCTATTTTGCTCTCACACGCACTAACTTTATTTAAAAGAAGATTATTTTCTTCCTTTAGTTTTTGATATTTCACCTTTTGCACTGCGACACTTTTTGAGATTTTTATATTTTCCTGTCTCAAACCACTAATTTCACTTTCAACACCATCCATTTTTTTAAGCTAATAACAGTTCTTTCAAATCATCATTAGTGGTCATTTTGAATTTGTTACAAATTATTTACAAATAAAAATTAATTATATCATTAAAAAAATATGGTCACTTACCTTTTTATTTTTTATAAAATATTTAAATAAATAAATACAAATATATTTTTATACAATCTTCAGCCTGTCCAGACATACACGTTGAAAACGTAACAGAACGTAAATTGCACGCACGCGTGCATGCGTGTTGTCAATTCAACTCGATTTTGCTACATTTAGCCCACGTGTGTACGTGCCTTTGGGTGGCCCATAGGCGCTTCCGTAGTTAACGGACAACAGAAATTAATTAAACCAATCAATGACGACAGTGAAAAAATTTTATATTATGTTAAAAACGATGAGCTCTTTAAAGTTCTTTTCAAAGTACATTCAACAGTTGGACACGGAGGAAGAAACCGCATGGAGTATGAGTGTAAAAAATTGTATTGTAATGTTTGTCAAAAAAAAGTTCAAATAAAAAAAAGGCCTCGTTTCCAAACCTATTTTACACTCAGCGTACAATTCGAGAGCTCAACTCGACTTAATAGATATGCAATTACAAGAGCACAATGAATTTCGATTCATAATGGTATATCAGGACCATTTGACAAAATTTGTCAACTTGCGACCTCTGAAATCCAAAAGAGCGAAAGAGATGCAACTGCAAAACTGGGTGTGCACAAAATAAGTGCAAATGTTTTAAAAATAATAGGAAGTGCAATTCTAAATGTCACAACAGTCTGTCCTGTAAAAATAAATAAATAAGATAAAATTTGGCACTTAACTAACAGGGATTTTATTAATAAATGATTATTACATCCATAGCAATAAATTTTTTATTATTAAACAACATTGCCCAAACTTTTCCCGGGCATTGTCGACATTGACCGTAACATATATATATATATATATATATATATATACATATATGTAACTAAATAAGTTAAAAAAACAATTATCGTTTAATATAAATTTTAACACTTTTCATAAATATGTTTCCAAATTATTATATGTAAATAAATTAAATAATAAACAAATTAAATATATTATAATGCAACAAATAAATTATAAGTTTTTGAATTAAAATGTCAATTTTCATTGGTTTCTTTCTATTTATTTTTTAATATATTTTTGTATAAATATGAAAATTTTAATACCAATAAATAAGGATTAATTCTTCCTAATTTTTTGACAGGTTATATTAATTTATTTTCTTGAGTAAATTTATTACCATTTAAATGATCAAAAAGTGAATTTTTTTTTATCGTTTAAGTAAAGTACACATCTTAAATAAAATTTATACTCACTGATCTAATTTTTTTTATTTATTTTTTAACATGAAGTCTCTTTAACAATATTTTGACAAAATATTGTTATACAAAACCAATTTTTAACAAAACAATTTTCAAATTAACTATTTTATTAAAAATTTCAACAAATAATTATTTTTAATAATTTAAAGTAATAAATATTTATATATTGAAATTATATTTATTTATTTGTAATTTTAAAAATTAATCATAAACTTGTCGACCATATCTTACCATTTTTCTGATTAATCATACACGTTTAAAGAACGAATTTAATCCATACTTTTCTAAAATGTTGTTATTGTTGGTGAAAGTCTAAAAATCAATTATTATTGAATTTAATAAAATAGTTTTTGAATTACAACGTTTTTAATTTTTTACTTTTGAAAAAAAATTTTTTTTCAATGAACAATATTTATAAGTAGAATGCATAAAAGTTAACATATATATAATGATTTTTAAAGCTTTTTTGACGAGCTACACGCTGTTAATAATATTTTTTTTTTTTAAATAACATTTGACCTTGAAATTGAAGGTCAAAATGTTAATTTACGTTTATCTCAAAATCGGATTTTTTAAAATTATTTTTAACTATCTCAATGGAAAGCTTGACTAATTTCCTACAAAACATGTAATTTTCAGAGTGGGATCTTTTAAAGTTTTTGAGATATTAATTAATTAATTAATGTTTATAACAAATGAAATATTTTACAAACGAATAAAGTTACCGTAATTCTGAAGTTAGTAATTGAAAGTTAACGTAATTCCGCATCCAACGATCCCTATATGAAGTATTTTGGATAAGTAGATTGTTAATAAACAATTAGTTAACATTGCAATTGTTTATTAACAATCTACTCATCTAAAATACTTCATATAGGGCTCGTTGGATGCGGAATTAGCTTAACTTTCAATTGGTTAGTTTAGATTTACGATAACTTTATTTGTTTGTAAGATATTTCATTTTTATTGTTATTTAACTAAAATTGAACAAAAATACTGCATATAGGGCTTTTGGATGCTTGTTGTTAGTAAAAAATAAAATATTTTACAAACAAATAAAGTTATCGTAAATCTAAATTAACCAATTGAAAGTTAAGCTAATTCCGCATCCAACGAGCCCTATATGAAGTATTTTAGATGAGTAGATTGTTAATAAACAATTGCAATGTTAACTAATTGTTTATTAACAATCTACTTATCCAAAATACTTCATATAGGGATCGTTGGATGCGGAATTACGTTAACTTTCAATTACTAACTTCAGAATTACGGTAACTTTATTCGTTTGTAAAATATTTCATTTGTTATAAACATTAATTAATTAATTAATTAATATCTCAAAAACTTTAAAAGATCCCACTCTGAAAATTACATGTTTTGTAGGAAATTAGTCAAGCTTTCCATTGAGATAGTTAAAAATAATTTTAAAAAATCCGATTTTGAGATAAACGTAAATTAACATTTTGACCTTCAATTTCAAGGTCAAATGTTATTTAAAAAAAAAATATTATTAACAGCGTGTAGCTTGTCAAAAAAGCTTTAAAAATCGTTATATATATGTTAACTTTTATGCATTCTACTTATAAATATTGTACATTGAAAAAAATTTTTTTTTTCAAAAGTCAAAAATTAAAAACGTTGTAATTCAAAAACTATTTTATTAAATTCAATAATAATTGATTTTTAGACTTTCACCAACAATAACAACATTTTAGAAAAGTATGGATTAAATTCGAGAACTTTTAATTTTTTGTTCGGACATTTCTGGAATTTTGCCTCATATATCAAAATTATAAATGAATAATTAACTGTTTTATTTTCATTTACAGTAGTACTAGTTAAAAATAACAATATCGAGAACAATTCTGTTTATTTAAACGTTCAAAACTTTAAGGTCATGAAGTCATGAAGTCTCCCCATAAGAAAAGTTTTCAGCTTCTCCAAAAATATACTCCTGACCTGATCAAGAAAATATTTTTGTAATTTTTAAAACGAAAAGAGATTATATATATATATATATATATATATACAATCTCTTTTCGTATATTCCGCTTTTCGTATATATATATATATATATATATGGGGGATCTCGGGTGAAGTGATCAAAGTAAAAAAAAATTTTGTCTCAATTTCGCTCAAACTGGAGTAATTTGTACTTCTATTGGGTGGTAATTTATCGTAAAAAAATTTTTCAATTTGGACCAATATTTACTCGGGGGGAGGGGGTTGAAGTTTATGGGTAGCGTTTTCTTTAATAATTTTTTTTTCTTGAGTATCAAAAAAAAAAATTTTTATCAACATCAGTTTCGATAGCTTTTTTAATGCTCTTTCGATTGAGGACATGCATTTTTGAAAAAAAAAATTTTTGAACCAAAAAAAATTAATTTCAAAATTTTTTTTGACTTTTTCGGGGTAAAAGGTACGATTATTATTATTTTTTTTTTTTTTAAAGGAAAGCTGAGATTTTTTCCTGTAGGGACATGTAGTTAAAAAAATGGGACAAGAAAGATTAAACCTTGAAAATTAACATTTTTTATTCACTTTAGCGCTGCGCTGCGATCTACCACGTGACACATTAGTAGTATGGTATTTGGAGAGAAACATTAATGCTCTCTGCATTTTACAGGGTTGAAAGTGTTATTGAGTAAATACCTGTATTTCATCAACGTTTAAATTTGGATAATAATAAATGAATAATAATTATATAAAGTGGAATCTTGGAAATTATAAAATCGGTTCAAAAATAAATGTAGCATACTAATAAGAGTTTACTTTATTATAGTAATCAGTCTTATCAAATAAATACTCATTTATATCAATTCATCATTCATTTGGTTATTAATTTATCCATTTATTCGAATATTTGACTGCAATGAAAAGCCAAACTGTCGAATGGACAAAATGTCGAAAAGTCAAGACGTCGCATAGTCAAAACGTCGAATAGTCAAAACGTCGAAAGGTCAAAATGTCGAAAAGCCAAGACATCGAACGGACAAAATGTCGAAAAGCCAAAACGTCGAACGGACAAAATGTCAAATAGCCAAAACATCGAACGGACAAAATATCGAATCGCCAAGACGTCGAAGGGACAAAATGTCGAATAGCCAAAACGTCGAATAGCCAAAACGTCGAATAGCCAAAACGTCGAATAGCCAAAATGTCGAAAAGTCAAAACTACGAATGGACCAAATGTCGAAAAGTCAAGACGTCAAATGGTCAAACTGTCGAATGGACAAAATATCGAGACGTTATTTTGCTCTGAGTTTCCCTTCTATATAATGCACACTAGTTTGTGTTGCGTTTAACACTCGATAGATATCGCTAGTTGTATTGTTTTTAATGTTTTTTTTACATTTTTATAATAATAATAATAATAATAATAATAATAATAATAGTAGTAGTAGTAAAGTAATTATTATAGTATAATAATAATAATAATAATAATACAAACTTTTAATTTTAAGCAGTTAAACTAGTGTGCATTATATAGAAGGGAGACTCAGAGCAAAATAACGTCTCGATATTTTGTCCATTCGACATTTTGACCATTTGACGTCTTGACTTTTCGACATTTAGTCCATTCTGCTGACTCTACATTGGCTGCGCAAACGTGTACGTGAACGTGAACGTGCTGACGTCACAATGTTATTCAAA